ATGGATAATTCCATTCTCATTATAGAGGTTTGAAAACTTTATAAAAACATATTCTCTTTGCCTATTTAAATAAAGAATTTTGTTTCTTTATTCTTTTTAATTTTTAACTTCATTTTTATATGCAGTAAACATAGCCAAAGCCTCATCTTTTGTTTGAATTAGAAAAACATAACAATATTTAGAAAAATTATCTATGAAAGTAATAAAGTATCTCTTACCATTCCTAAAGTAAAATTGAGTGTCATAAACATTGTTTAGTATTAACTCTAAGATTACGAATTCTCTAGCTACAGATTTAAAAGGCTTTTTAGGTAATTTAGACTACACACATATTTCATATTTTTCATGCATGTTTATATCATATTTAAGAATAAAAGCCAAATTCATCATTCTCTTAATAGGTGAATTATTAATATGCTTTAAACGAACATGCTAAACATCAAAAGAAAGAACAACATTATGGAGAGAAAAACTATTATTACTTTTGTTACCATGACAAACAACATTTGACATATTTAACTTGAACAGACCGTTGGATACATGTCATTTTTCGACAAAAGACTCATTTCTATTAATTGTAACTTTATTAGACTCAAACAATAATTTATAATCATCTTTAATGAGAAGAAAGCCACTAATCAAATTCTTTCTAATATCGAGCACATGTTACACTTTATGAAAAGACAAGGCTTTTTCAGAAATTAGTAATAAATATATCCTTCTTTCTCCTTTCACTTGTGCAACTGTAAAATTACCCGAGTTCACGTATTTTCCGGCAATGACCTGATATTTTAAAAATATGAATAGGTTAACACAAACATGGATATTCGCACCAATATCAATATACCAATCAGTCGATTTACGCAGTAAATTGACACAAGAATGTTTGAAATAAACCTTTTGTCATTCTCACTAGTCACAACAATGTCCTATGAGATTGGTGTCTCAGACATTTTTGGCCTTTACAATGTCAACAAACTTTTACTAAATGCCCTAGTTTTCCACAAACAAATCAACATCTCTTTGTTTTCTTACTAACATTAGATGATTGTTTACAAAAATTATTTTTTGAAAACTTCCTTTTTTTCGAATTTGAACTTTTCCCTTCTATAATGTTTATTTTGTCCTTAAACTCATTAAACATTTTATCCTTATCTATTTGTTTTTCTTCAATTTGAAGAGTTACAGTTAAACTATTCATAGTCAAAGTCTCACACTTGTATTTTAGGGACAAAGCAAGAGATATCCATTTTGATTGAAAATTTTCAAGCAAGGCACCCCCATGAAATTTTTTTCATATTTCAATTTTTCTTTAGTTTAACTCATGAATAAAAACTTGAAAAAAGTGCGTTTGTTCAACAATAGATTTATTACCAGTCATTTTGAAGTCTATATATTTTCTTATAATGTAGTTATCAAGACCTTCATCTTTTTAACCATATTTCTTTTCAAATGCTTCTCACAATTGACATGTAGTTTTTATAGTGCAGAAAATATCGTAAAGATTACTAGACAAAGTAGACAAGATACGACCATAACAAAGATAGTCCTTATCTAATTGTGTCTGTGTGCTTGTATTCTCAGTTAATTTATAACCAGAGTTTTGATTTGAAGGATCAACAAGATTAAGATTTTCATTTGAAGAAATAACGGGATTGAAGATAACTAAATAAAGTCCTAAAATTGTTAACCAATAATACATTTGATTCTGTCATCTACGAAAGTTTTATTTAGAGAATTTGTCCAGTTTTACGAAAATTTATTCTTTAATAGAAACCATTTTTTTAAATGCAAAAAACAGTTCTACTTTAAAATTGTTAGACTTTATACTCGAAAATATAAAGAAGAAAACGTGAAGAAATAATTGAGACTTAACAATTAACAATAAAAAAGAAATAAGAAAGAGTTTTGAATGTGAAAACTGGTTCAAGGCATGCTATGGAAGGCACTAACTTTAGAGTAAATCTCCGTCATTATCTCGATGCAAAAAGCAATTTATGACATTTTATGTCCAAGATACAATGAACCACTCAAGAATCTTTTAATGTGCATTCAGATCGAAAATCTAGCGAACTCGTAAATCTCTCGACTACTCTTAAAGGAATTTTAGAATGAAAAAGAAAGAAGGTATTAGAAAATCTTTTGAAGTCAAGATATAAGAGATAAAAAGTACTTTTCAAAAATGAAGGGATGGGTATTTATAAATAGTAAAACATCTTCAACGTGTCTCTTTATTATATAGACATATCTATTTATAAAGTGAACAAATGTATCTTTTTAATTATCAAAGAGATATGCCTTTTTACAATCAAGGGTCATACATCTCTCATAGACACATTAAATTTTAAATCACCAAAATAAAATAAAAATCAACAATTTTGAGTTTAAAGTTAACACAATTAATTAATTTATCCATATAGATAATGTATTGTTTCAAGTTCAAATTTTAGCAACGACTGCTTAAAACATTAATCTCGAAAACATTGACACTGATCTCGAAGATTAAATTCATGTGAGCTGTATTAATTTTGAGAGATTAAACAATTTATCAAAAATATCATATAATAATTTGATGGTACTCGTGACATTTTTCATTTGTTGTGTATTATTGGTAAGTTGAGCAACTCCAGGTGATGATCATATTATTATTCTAATTGCCAACTCAGATTAAAAAAAAGGAAACAATAAAACTAAGAACTCTCATCAAGAGGTCACTCTCAAACACCAAAAGCTCCAATGAGCTCACAAACACCTGTACCCAAACTTTTGTCACTCGAAATAGTGGAAATTTGTCACGTTCCACTTCCATATAAAAATCTGAACACTTCCATTACATCAAAACAAGATAGCTCCAGAATTATTTATGTATAAAGAATTTAACCCTTTTTATTCTTCATTGCACAAATTTGACTCGCCAAACCCAGAAAGAGAAACGCAAAGGTTATACCATGCATCACTCATCCCTTTGCCAATGCTTAAACTAAAGATAATTGCGCAATTATTAGGGGCTAAGATAAAGCTTAGTTTATCACGTGAGACGTGGGCACCTTGAAAACCTAAGAACGTAAAGAGAAATCTTCGGTGGACCGTACACGTGTCGTCCACCTGGTATTATTACGTCAGTGCTTGCATGGCGGGAACATACGTAGCCCCTTTTGATGGGGCCCAGATCTATGGATGATCGCCACCTGGGGTTTGCCACACTGATTTGTTTATTACGGTGTGACGCGTGCGTACTTTGTTACTGGTCCACACGCCTTTACCTAATGTTCGTGGGCTCCCCACATCAAATCTTTTGGCCGACACTGGATAACCAAGCAGAACACCACTTTTGCAACTGCGCCCTCATATTTTTACTTATTTATGCGTTGGCCTAAATATATATATTTTCTTTCTATTTTATCCTCAATAAGACAATAACTGGTTTAGAAATTTTAAATATGAAAATTTATACCCTCACTCCTCAGTTTAAAATTTTAAAATTACTAATGGCCTTGCTATCTATATATCTCCACAATATGGTGCAAAAACAAAGATATTATGTTTGAATCTTGATCCCTTATATTACCCATCCTTCATTTATAATTCATTTAATTGTTTTCACACTTTTAGTAAGTTTTCAATTTAAAACATTAAATTTTTGCATCACTCTAGATTAGTAGGTCAACTAATTTTCACTTAATTAGTCACTTAATAAGAGTAATTATTGAAGTCATGTGTGTGCAAGAATTGAGCTTAGAGTACCTATCCTTATGAGGGGGCGTGGGGTAGGTGGAATTTAAGAATGAAAGCCACAATACACCTTATAGGAGAAGTGGTGTTAGATCATTAACTTGGTAACTTGGTAGTGCAAAAAAGAAACCCTAAACACCTATAATTTTCAAGCAATGCATTAAATAACTTGCACTTGGTAAATTGATTAAAAAGGCACTTAGGCTTAATGCATATGTATGAATTAAATTAGCGTTGTCACAGGATAATATTTATATATTATCACTTAACTATAAAATATCATCTAATAAACGTACAAATTTAAAAATTCAAATGTTTTTTAAAATTAATATTTTTGAAATTATAAATATTTATTTTAGAGAATTTTCAACTTTTATTTATTAACGAGGTGACAACATTGTATACAAAATTCATTTACTAACAGTGTATCAAATATAAACCCTTTAAATTATATATAAAAAACATGAATATAAATCTCAAGTTTGTTGAAACCTTGAATTCATATCCATAACGAAAAGCTTTTAAATCCAGAAAAGGTTGGTTTTAGTGAGATTGAGGGTTACCTTTCCATGACACTATGGAAATTGCGAAAAATTATTCTACATATAGAAACTCTAAAGCTATAGCTAGGCAAATGGTAAATCCAACACATTCCTCGCACTATTAATGAGTTAGCAGAAGATTTGGCTAAATTTACTGTTCTAAAATTGTATGATTATTTCTTTTATAATTAGTTTTTCCAGTGGTTTTTTCTTTTTTTTTTCCATTAAAATCTGACAGTAATTTTATGTTTATCTGCTTTGGTTTGCTATGTTTTTACTTATATTTTTGCTTGTAAGTTTCCTTTGATGAAATAAATCTCTTTCTTGTTTTCCAAAAAAAAAATGTATTGATGTTTGGCTTTCGAAGAACTCTAGCTACCTTTATTTACTTTTTTTTTCTATATTTACTTAATGAGAGTACATTTCAATAGTTAGAATTTAAGATTTCATTTTAAAAATCTCGGATTTAAAATCTTAAGATAAATAGATTGAATTTATATATAAAATGAGAGAGGTATCTTATCATATTACTCCAAATTTTTAAGTTAAATAACTGTAACAAAAATGGGTATAAAGCATTAATTTCCAATTAAGAAAAGAAAAAGAAACCCAAAGCTACTTTCCAATCTTGTCTCACTTGCTGTACAATTCCCTCGTTGGGCTTATTTTACTTCACTTATTTTACTTTACTTTATGTTGTGAGATTTCACTTGAAAGCCAGCTGCTTCTTCTTGAATTCCCCTGGGAGTATGTTAGTGGCTCATATTTCTTCAAACCAGTCAAAACTCAAAGCTTAATAATTATAAAGACTATGTTCAAGCCTCCCCACTCTTCTTCTTTCTTTCCCTCATCTCATCTCATCAACAATTTTCCTTCTTCACTTTCATCATATCCTGCTTCTGCTCAAACAACTGCTGAAACCTTATTATGTTAACCCTTCGAGGGGCGATCACCAATGGCGAAAACGATCAAACTCACGACCATAACGGTGACCATCATGACCTTGACGATGATGAGCATATCAGGGACATCCATGCTTTGACCCCACCTCACCCTCCAGCTGTGAACCGTGGCCGTTGGGAGACTGGTAGCCATCGATCATCTTCTTTGTCCATATCTAGTGAAGCTGCTTCGAGTGAAAACTTTACTACCATGAGTAGAGAGTTCAATGCTCTTGTTCTTGCTGGCTCTTCCGTTGAAAACAATGATTCTGATTCTATAAACACTTTAAACAATCATAATCACTTGACCAGGATTGGAGAGGAGGAAGTGCCTGAGGAAACTAATCCTTTGGCTATAGTGCCAGATAATAACCCCTTTGATCAGGGTCCGGAACAAAGGAGGGCCGAGTCAGGAGGGTCGTTGGCGGCGAGCAGTAGCGGCCATGGGGAGGTTTCTGTGCTGCGAGTGAAGAAAGAGGAGGTTGAGTCCAAAATATCTGCCTGGCAAAACGCAAAGGTTGCAAAGATTAATAATAGGTTTAAGAGAGAAGATGCTATAATTAATGGGTGGGAGGGTGAGCAAGTTCAAAAGGCCACTTCTTGGATGAAGAAAGTTGAGGTATGTTTGGATACAGAAATTTCTTTTTCTTGTGCATGTCGAGTGTGAGTTCCTCATGCAAAACAGTTGTTATTATCAAGCTTTTGATGGTACTCAAATTAATCAAGACGAATTGAATTTAGTGATACTTATTTTTATGTTGTTCCCATTTCATGGTTAATTGATTAGAGTAATGTTAATTTGATCATATGATTGTGCCAAACAAAGAGAGTATTAATTAATTATAAGGTTAATGATTTGATACACTCTTAATTAGGTCCAGTGTGTGTATATATATATATATATAGTGAAATTTATTGATAACTAATTGATGTTCTAATTGACTATGTTGTTTATTGGATTTAATTATGATGTTGGTTATGCAAGTGGGATTAAGTAAATTTGTTCTAAGATATATTGAAATCATTTCCCAGAGACAGGGCATGCTGTATTCTACCTTTGAAAGATGAGTACATGGAGGCTTTAGACAATAATTAGAACCGGAAGTAACCTATGAATGGACTTTTGAGTGCTACGACTTTTGATGCTTGCTAATTAATTATTCAGTTATCTTCATGTAATTATTATCTGTTGTTGATTCCGAGTCAAATCTTAATCAGATTACTGTCCATTGTGTTATATAATTGGTGGAATATGATGATGAGTAATCCTTTTTTCCGTATCTGATCCATCTTTGCATTAATTCCTTATTCCTTTCCATTGGTATCTTTTTCATACTGGGATTGTGAATACTACTTATATAGTCCCATACATGATCTTCACAAAAGTCATTCACTTTTATTGTAGAGGAAGCTAGAGGAGAAAAGAGCAAGAGCCTTAGAAAAGATGCAAAACGATGTGGCAAAAGCGCACAGAAAAGCTGAAGAGAGGAGGGCATCAGCTGAGGCCAAGAGAGGAACCAAAGTTGCCAGGGTTCTTGAAATAGCCAATTTGATGAGAGCTGTTGGGAGAGCTCCGGCCAAGCGATCCTTCTTTTGAGCCTGCCTTATCACTTAATCAGTACAAAAACAATGTCCTCTACTTTTCATCAAAAACATCCCACCTGAAAACAAAAAAGGAAAATTGTGTGGACACAATAATTCTCCCCTTCTAGAGTACCTTCACCTTTTCAACTGCAGGGTACCCTACATGAAAGGGCAGTGAAGAGTTTGCACCATATCCAATATATATGTAGTTAACTGATGATTTGAAATCTATGAGTGTGTGAACTTTGAAGTGTGTTGGGATTTTTGAGGACTTGGTGGTGATAGTGGTGGAACAACCTCTTTTGTCTTGTACAGTAAAAATTATTTTTCTTTTATCTGGTTCTGGGCAGGGCTATGGTGCTGCTTTTGACTTGTGGCCATTATACATGTTTAGAATATATTTACTTTGGTGCATTTGCTTCTGCTGCTGCTGCTGCTGCTGATGTTATTGCTTGGGATCCATTATCTTTGTGCCAATATATCATTTAAATTACGAAGACAGATTGACCCCAATGTCCCATTTCTTTTGCTTTCATTAATACAAATGACCCAATATATAATTCGATGTATTCCAAGCACGTCTGACTCACAAATTTGTACGGATTTTGCTTTGCCAAAAAAACTGTACGGATTTGCATCCTGGAGTGAGACCTTAACGGTGAAAGAATGTTATGCTCATTCCTTACTTATCTCTTTTGCCAAAGCACTGGCCGGGGGAATAACATGATTCCTTGGTATTAGCTTTAATAGCCAGTTGTTACCCTAAATTTTCTGGCTGAAAAACAATGCAATGATATATGATAGGTTTAGGGGAAGGAATTAGACTCAATGGGGGACCAATCTTAATGGCTACTCTGTCTTCATTTCTTCATATTTCTCCTCGGGTTTCATTCATTTAATTAACTAAAAGAGATAGTAACTATTAATTTCTTGTTGCTCAACTGTTGTTTGATGCAGAGGACTGTAACAAAGATGAGAATAAAATCAACTGGAAAATGGAAAGATAAGGTGTGTTTTGCTTCATTCCCAAGTATAAGGCCAAGTGCTATGAATTTTGAGAGTGGGCAATGTTAAAAGGAAAATAATGACTTGGGTTGGGGGGAAATCTTTGAGGGGGCCAAACATATGAAAAGGATAATCACAAGAACTTTTTCGTTTTTCAGTTATGTTGGAGGTGTGAAGGCCTGTCTTTTTTAGCAAACAGCTGAAAACCTGTTCTAATTAGGAAGAAACATTTTCCATGAATCAAGAGATATGTTTTTCCATAGGCAAGTGTAAAAAATTTATGAGATGTATAATGATTTCTCTATTATTTTGCCTTGAACTTGTACTGTTTGAGGGCATGAAAGAAAAAAAAAAAAAAAAGGGGGGAATTTTATGATGAAATCTAATTACAATTTCCCTAATAAAATATCTTCCCTTAAACAGATTCATTGGATCTTTAGAACTGTGATTAGACGTCTCTGAATCTTTTATCAGTCCAAATTGTTCACCGAAAGCCATCCACAGTGAAATGGTAAAACTAAACCTTTTCCAAACATGCAACCACTTTCCCCTTAAAACCAAGCATTCTCCAAGTTGTTCTTATGAAAAACAAATTCGAAAGAAACCTACTAAAGTTTTCACAGTGGAGACCAATGGGATCATTGGATGCTTAAAGAACCGTAATTTGCGTTGCCCAATCTTTGGATATCTCAAAATTATTTAACATTAGTCAATCGTTTTATCAACTTTCATCTTCTTTCTCTTTCACTCATGGAATCTTTTTTCCTAGTTGTCTTTTTATGTGGAGAAAAGGTTGGGTCAAGGGCAGCCAGGGGAGGGGGGGCCAGGCCTTAAGAGAAAGGAGGTTAATCCATTTAAGATTAACAGCAACAACATTTAACGGTAAAGACCAATACTAGACAAAAGACTAGTAGGTTAGCTAAAAGGCCCTCCATGCCTCTATAGTTGTTCGACGTGACCTGCAATGAAATGGACCGTCGAATTTTCCCAGAAACATATCTGGAGTTACAGGACAAACAACTAGATTTTCATTCAGAAAAAAAAAAAGATATACAGCTTTGTCTTGTTAATTTCCCCCACAAGAAACTTTTACAATGGCTTTGAAACAATTCTACAAAATAATCCCATGATCTCAAGCTTGAAACAGGTCACATCATTGTGATCATCGAATCAATGAACTGCATCCTAGACAATGACTCTAGCATTAAAGAATCTTTACTTATTGCGTAATTGATGAAGATATCAGAGGATATTTACAGATTTTCTGAAGAACTAACTCGAATAGAATGACATTGTGCAAACATTTACAGTTGATGCACTTTTTTCATACAAAAATGGTGTAATATATGATCCTCTGTAGTCTATTCCACTGAAGATAGAATTACAACATTTACAGCATGATGATTCCTTGACTACAATCCACTAATCCAGTTTCCCCTTTCCTTTATCTAGAAACACTTTGATCCTTTCTAATGAACTCGGGTTTTTCATGTGCACTGTTCCATAATTTCTCTGGTCACAATAATTAAGTGGTAGAATTGTAGACATTCCAACTGCAACTACCAGTGAAGAATTCAAAGAACTTTGCTTCACATATTGAAACAAGTTAGAAAACACCATAGCTTTTAATAGGTTAGAAAGTTTGAAACTTTATTCACACCAATAGAGTTTCTCCAATCAAATGAGCATCAGGGGTATTGCAATTATTCCACTTCATTTCATCCATTAACAGATCCAACTTTGCATAAATTTCTCTACTTTCAGGATGGTCTTTGCCACTAGCCATGAAACAATGGACTTTGTTATCAATTTCTATCCAGCTACAACCTGCTTCTTTCCTTAACCTAAGGTCTTTCATAGCTGTTCTGACTTTTGCCGCCTCATCTAACATTCCCAATCCAGCATAAACGTTTGAAACAAGTATATAAGAGCCCGCTTCTTCAGGTGACAAGTCAAGCAATTTTTTTGAGCCTAACATGCCAAAATCTAAATTCCCTTGCAACTTACTGATATTGACCAAGGTCCTCCATAGTAGAGGAGAATTTGGAAAAGGGCTATTGTTAATCAAACGCATGGCTTCAGGCAACCTCCCTGCTCTCCCTAATAGATCAACCATACAAGCAAAATGCTCAATTGCTGGCCTGATCCCATATTTTGATTCCATTTCATTTAATAAGCATACCCCATCATCCCATAGCCCAGTGTAACTACAAGCTTGAAGCAGAGCCAATATAGTAATCCCATCAGGTGTAAAACCTTCTCTTTTCATCTCTTCAAAGAGTATAAGTGCCTTTTTACCTTGACCATGAATGGAATATGCAGAAATCATGGCATTCCAAGAGACTAAATCATGGCCATTCATTCCATTAAACATTTGACAAGCATCTCCAACACTGCCACATTTAGCATACATGGTAATCAAAGCATTACTCACTGATAAATCAGCTTCAAATCCCATTTTGATGGTGTAAGCATGAAGACTGTTTCCTTTACCTATAAAAGCTTGATTGGCGGATAAACTAAGAAGCCGCGAAAAAGTGACCAAATCTGGCTTCATACCACCTAATCTCAGCTGACGAAACAAAACCATGGCATATTCATCATCATCATCTCCATCTGTTTTCAGGAACCCAGCTAGAATTGCATTAAACAAAGCAACATTTTTACTAGAGAAACCATCAAAAACTGTTTTTGCAGAGTTTAAGTCCTCACATTTGGCATACATATCTACTAATGCAGTCACAACATTGACATCACATAGATAACCAACCTTAATCAAAAATCCATGGAGTTGAACTCCCAAATCCAAGTTTTTGCACTCCGAGCAGCCATCAAGCACAATTACCAGACATTGTGAATCACAACAAATTCCTTGGTCAAGTAATTCCAAGAACATATCAATAGCCTTTTCACCACAGCCACTTCTTACATACCCCGATATAAGTGCTGTCCAAGAAATTAAATTCCTCTCACTCAGCAAACCAAACATTCTCGCAGCATCTTCAACCATTCCAAGCTTCCCATACATAGTAATCACTGCATTCCCAAGAGACGTCACATTCAAGACACCATACTTGACAGCAAGCCCATGTAACTGTCTCCCTTCCTCAATACCTACATTTTCACTACAAGTGCTTATTATATTAGTAAAGGTATAATCAGTTGGCTCCAAACCAGAACTTAACATATCAACAAAAACCCAAAAAGATTTATCCATACACCCCGCCTTTCCATACTCAAAAATCATGTAATTCAAACACTGCACATCCTTTAAACCAATGTTATCATACACTTTTTCAGCTTCACTTAAGAAACCATTCATTGAATACATGGAAATCAAAGAAGTACCCACACAAACATTCTCCTCAATCCCACTTTTAATTACTAGACCATGTATTTGTTCTCCCCGAATCAAGTCCTCTACCATGGCACACGCTTGTAAAATTACCGAACAAGTATGCTCATTGAACTTCTCGCATAGAAATACATATCGCGAGCGATTTGATACACGGACTGGAAATCGTCATTATCTAGATACCCTTTCATTAAAGTAGTCCAAGTGATTGTGTTCCTAATGGGCATTTCATCGAACATCTTTTGGGCATGGTCCAATTCCTTGAATTTCGCATAAAAGTTGATAAGATTATTGCCTTGAAAGGCGTCATATGGAGAGTTAGATTTTGTAACTCTGATCGCTTGACCCACAAGAAATTTCGGGATCCAATTGAAAGTTTGAGAAGATGGGGCCAATCTTCAGAAAGAAGCAGCTCTTTATTAGTTGAAATGCTCGAAACGGAGCAAGATTGGACTGTTCTTAGGGTTGGGTATATTGCCTTATCAGGTGGCTTAGTTTTTACTGAAAGCAGGGGATGGTGGGTTTAGAAGGAAGAAGAAACGCGGTGGCGCCAAATAGAGCTTCCATGGAGATTTGATTTGAATCCAGAAATTAAAAAATGAACCCAAAAAGGCAGAGGCGAAGATTAATTTTTGGGGCTGAAATTGGGTTTGGGCTTAAAAATTGACCCCACAAAAATATTGCCCACAAATGATGACGTGGAGGTAGTCGGGACTCCCAGTTTAGAAAAAAAAAAAAAAAAAAGCGACCCAATGTAAGTTTCCGTTGGTTTCAATAACAGCCTCATCTGCCAAATCCTCCGTTCTCTTTTTTCTTCTTTCCCTCTTTCCTCTTACACGCTGAACCGAGAAAGAAAGAAAACAGAGAAATGGAAATGGCGGTTAGCTTCCGTAACTCTTTTCTCAAAGCTCCTTCGATTAACCCTAACCCTAAACTTCCATTGCCGAAGCAACTTTTCGGTCTCAACTTGTCTTCGCTTTCCTCTTTCAACTCCAAAACAACATGCCTCAAATTTTGTTCTAGGAATTTGACCAAGCCAGTCAAATGCTCTGTTTCTCAGGCAACTCAACCTGCAACCGGTATTCTTTTTTTCACTTTTCTTATTTTTCTTTTCTAATTGTGAATTTTTGTAGTAGTTATTTAATTGTGGTTGATTATTAGAGAAGAAGAGTCAGTTAATGAGGAGAAGAGATATAAGGAACATAGCAATCGTAGCGCATGTTGATCATGGGAAGACTACTTTGGTTGATGCAATGTTGAAGCAATCTAAGGTAAACAATCGAACGTTATCCACCTCCTTGTTGACGGTTACATTTGATTTTGTTTTTAACTATTAGTATACCTTTTGTTTGTTTGTCTCAGTTGGCGCTACACTATAAAGTTCCGTTGAAGTAGAGCTTCCTAAAGAAAATACCCATTGTATTGAATTGATTTGAAATAAATAAGAATATGGTTTGTCTGTTTAAAAGCTTTATTCAATTTGTCTACAAGCTTCCCCTTGCATCTCTTTTCAGAAGCTCCTATTAGGAACTTCAGTTTTTAGCCTCCAAAAAGCTCGTTTTTGGGCAGCTTTTATAGAAGTTAAAAGTTGTGAGTTTAAAACTATCGTTTGGCCTAGCTTCAACTTTCTGCAATATAGAACCTACTCAAGAAGCTGGAGCCAAATTTATACTAAATTGAAATTGATAAGGAATGGTTGCTCTAGGGATTGATAGAATAGGAAAGTGTAGTACTCAACCTGTTTGACCAATATCTAGATTTATATTTTCTACTGGTATCTTTATCTGATAGAGTTGAATTCTATATAATCTGAAATTAAGGACACAATATAGGGGCCTGGTCTCCATTGGAACTGTATATGTTAATATTAATAAAACTCTGTTAGGATAGTGCCAATGTTAATACTAATTCTCCAGTACTGATCTTATTTCAGGTTTTTCGTGATAACCAATTTGTACAAGAGAGGGTAATGGACTCAAATGATCTTGAACGTGAAAGGGGTATTACAATTCTGAGCAAAAATACATCTATCACTTACAAGGATACAAAAATTAATATAATAGATACTCCGGGGCACTCTGACTTTGGAGGTGAAGTTGAACGCATCCTCAATATGGTCGAAGGGGTTCTTCTAGTGGTACCATTTTGCACTTTCTCTTGCTTCAAACTTCATCTTTTAAGTGTTGCCCCTGCATAGATTACTGTAAAACAATTTTGCACTTGTGAATAGTATAAAACATAAAAACGGATTATAGTTTCTAAAATTTGTGTGGTTCAAAGCCATAGAGTTTCCTATCTCCTGACTGCAGATGGGCCCCACATGCCAGCAACGGATTCAAACATTTTCACTAGGTACATTCATCATTAAAATTCATTTCTTATGAAAAACATTTTCTGCATAAGAGATAAAACATATTATGTTCTTGCTTAGAATTAAATTTGCTTATTTTCCTTTAGATATTGATTCCTTAGCACATAGCGTGTTAATAACCTCAGGTACAACTTTTTGAGAAATTTATTAGGCAAATGTTCAACTTGATGCTGCCTATTGTTATATCTTTGAGTTGGGCTTGTTACAATTATTTTCCATACATGTAGAACTGCAAAATATTTATTTATTTCTCATCATATTTATTTTTTATTTGAAAGATTCAATTGAGAGTAGTTCCAATGATGAAATCATATGAAGTTCTTCTTTTTCCGACTCCCACCCCATTTTGAATGATTTGAGGTGCTTACAAAGGGTTTATATGTGTTAGGCTTTATCTTTTTCTGAGAAACATATTATTTTTCCTTTAATGAAACTGGTCTAGTTGCTTCGCTTTCTTCCCTTCATGGAATGATTTACTTAATTTTTCAATCAGCTAATACTAGGATCACATTCAAATATAATTAGTTGTCAAATAAGGCTTGTTAGATTTGTGTTCCTTGCTTCTTATTTCTTTTGGTGGCTTTTCTCATATGCTGTAGCGTAGACTGGACATTCTTAAGGATGAACTAAAGCAGATTGTTTTTGTTTTTAGGTGGATTCTGTTGAGGGTCCAATGCCGCAAACAAGGTTTGTTTTGAAGAAGGCTCTAGAGTTTGGCCTTGCCGTTGTTGTTGTCGTCAATAAAATTGACAGACCGTCTGCTCGTCCAGATTTTGTTATCAATTCCACATTTGAACTATTTATCGAACTAAATGCTACAGATGAGCAGGTACGGGTGGTATACTTTGGAAAGAGTGAATAGCATGTCATGCAATTCACATGTATGTTGCATCGCAAAGCACTGTCTCTATCAAAATTTGAGCAATATCTTGATAACATCTCATTCCCGAACTTGATAAATCTTTTATTATAGTAGCAATCATTATTTAGTATTGCAATTTACAAGAAATGATATGACTGGAATTTTTCTTTTTCTTTTTTTTTTACCCAAAGATAAATTTGTGTAGATACCGTGCAGACCACCTCTGCAAGACATTGCCTCTTTGTATATTTGCTGGTGTCTCAACATATTTAAGAAAATCCATCAACACTTCAATCTAGCTTTATGTTTTTGGTATGCAGTGTGATTTTCAAGCAATATATGCCAGTGGTATAAAAGGAAAGGCAGGACTATCTCCTGACAATTTGGCAGAAGATCTCGGGCCTCTCTTTGAGTCTATAATCAGATGCATTCCTGGTCCACATATTGACAAAGATGGTACACTACAAATGCTTGTAAGTGGTTATTCCTTGTATTTCTTTGTTGACCCTTACATGGGTCTCTATTTATCTACTATTTGCCTGGTTAATTTTGTCATACTACCTAAAAGTATGCTGTAATTACTTGCTTTCAAATCACAGGTAAGGCTAAAATGCTATTATGGGGATGTTTAATTGCATTTTATGCTTAAAGTTATTGACTCTGCTTTTGTGTTTTTCCCTCGCAAAGATTCTTTTTGCCAAGTAGATTAATATGTGGATTTTTTACAAGAATGGCAACTACTACTACATGTCCATTTGACTGAAAAAAGTCAAATATGAGTGGATATAATTAACTGATATAACATTTGCTGGTATCGATATGTTACATTTAGTATTCAAAAGGGACATGCATCTGTATGTACTTAGAAATGAGATTGTATTTCATTTATTGGCAATAATGAAGCTTTATTGGATGAGAGTACAAGCTGTAAGTAAAAAGCCATCCTTGCAGTTAATTTTCAAGAACTTCATTTAGTTAAAAATTAAACTGGTAAAACCCAGCCAACTGGATTGACTGAAGAAAACTTCTTTTAAAGATAAGAATTGAATAGCTGATCATGAATAAACAAATATATATTGAAGTGTACAAGAAACCCTTGTTGAAGTATATTCTTGTCTGAGAAACATAATGAATAAATTACATGTTTTCTCCTTTTTACTATGCTTTGTCTAAGTTTTTCCCTAATTTTTTTATTTTCAGCACAAGTATCTTATAACTAGAAAAATCTGTGAATGTATTTTTAGGCAACAAATATTGAATATGATGAACATAAAGGGCGGATAGCTATTGGGCGCTTGCATGCTGGGGTCCTTCAGAAAGGACTGGAAGTAAGGGTAAGTTTGCTTCTTTTCAGGAGTCTGGTGTGCACCTCTTTCTATGTAACATGTATTATGGAATTTTAAGATAAAGGTATGATGTGAAGATTATCCACAGAAAAATGGGCCAATTTATGGACAGAATAAATTTCATCATCCCTGATGGTCATCTGATCTATTTTACTAACTTCATTGGCACTTTATAGTAGACAAACCACTTTCAGTTATTGTAACTGATTGGACTTATGAATAAGAAACTAAACCGCATTTTCTCTGTTTAACCTAATGGCTTGGAAATTTCAGGTATGCACCTCAGAAGATTCATGTAGATATGCAAGAGTTTCTGAACTTTTTGTCTATGAGAAATTCAGTAGGATCCCTGCTGAGAGAGTAGAAGCTGGTGATATTTGTGCTGTTTGTGGAATTGAAGATATTCAGGCAAGTGCCTATAAGTTTTTCATGGATTAATTGATAATTTGATGTTAAAGTGATTTTGTAATGTGTTACAGTTCATTTCTCAAAACCTTTTTCTTTATACTTTTAAAGTTTGTATTAACTAATTTAGCTTCTTTTATCAGATTGGAGAGACCATTGCTGATAAAACATCTGGAAAGCCATTACCTGCCATTAAGGTGGAAGAACCAACTGTGAAAATGGCTTTTTCTATTAACACTTCACCATTTGTTGGCCGTGAGGTATGTCAACTAACTGAGAACCTATGAGTCTTGAAATAGGCTATCTCTATGAAAGCACTCATTAGTCATTTGTTTCAGCATGCCTCAAGTTAATTTCTAAACTAAGCAAAAGAACGCTTACTTCTGCAATGCATTTGAGTGAAAAATAAATGATTTTTTCCACTCATTGCTTACATAATGTGATCAGTGTCTGAATCATTTGACTTCCATGATTATCTCTTTCTAACCATTGGAACTCCAACATGATTTGATCTTCAATTTAGTGAATATACATGTATGACAATGTGCTTTTCTGTGTGCTTATTTCCCTGATGTTGGCATCCTCATGGTGCTCCCTTGCTTCTTTAGGGAAAGTACGTTACTAGCAGGAACCTACGAGATCGACTTTACCGTGAGCTTGAGCGAAATTTAGCTATGAGAGTTGAAGATGGTGAAACTGCAGATACATTTATTGTTAGTGGGCGTGGCACTCTACATATTACCATACTGATAGAAAACATGTAAGTATGAGCTCTTTTGCTGCTTGTCAATATTCGCTGAGCATATTATTAAGTGATAATGCCTTTCAGGCGGAGAGAAGGGTATGAATTTATGGTGGGACCTCCCAAAGTTATTAACAAGAAGGTTGACGACAAGTTGCTTGAACCATACGAGGTGATTTTGTAATTCTAATTTTCCTAAACTGCATTTATCTTGTATATGATTAGAGGATCTTATCTGATGTGGATATAGATTTACTTGATATGCCTTTATGGGGATGTTTCGTTTCTGCCTAATGATTTTATCATATTCATTCTATTAATAATTAAACTGAGACCAGACACTCTCACAAATGTGCTATTAACTTAAATTCTTGAGGTGTTGATTGATTCTCAAATTTTAAAATGATGATCATGAAGGATTAGATGCTGGAGATGATGTAACAATTCTGCCCTCTCATATTAAAAGCTTCTTGTAGCTTTAATCTCATTTTCTTAACTTCAGTGGCCTTGGCTTGTTCTTTTTGAACATCAATATAATTGTTAATAATCTTACATAGTTATGTTAGCATCATTGGAAGTAAAATTTTCCTTCACACATGGTACTGCAATTTACGTAAGATCATATTTTGCTGATTCTTATAAATTGTATAGCCTTGTTCTGATACTAAAATGATCAGGGTATCACGAAATGTGAAGAATTAAAGTATGCCTTATTAATCGTATGATCATATTACTTTGTATTTTTAATTAACTTGATTTTCCCCGGTAATATGCGGATTCTATATAGACCGCAGCAGTGGAAGTACCTCAAGAACACATGGGGGCTGTGGTTGAACTTCTTGGAAAAAGGCGTGGACAGATGATAGATATGCGAGAAGTTGGGTATGTAAATTGTCACATTTGCTTTTATTTACATAGCCCTTTATGTTTCAGTAACTATCTCTTGATGGCACACAACAGCATTTTAATGAGGGAACAACTGTGTGATATTTATTTCCTGAACCAAACATTTGAATGAACATGTGAGGCAGGTTTTTAAGCTCTTTTAGTTATTACAGAAAACAATATGGACTTCTTCTCACTTAAATCATGAACTTGATTAATGCTATCCAAATGCTTGTTACTTCCTGTTAGATTTTTTTATATTTAAGTGAAACTCGTAAAGTGAGAAGATGGTGGCAAATTTCCCTATTTAATGGAAATGGTCAGGCACACTTTCATTCTTTTGCTGCCTATTTCATCTACAAATATCACCCTGAATATGACTTGCAGCAGTTCATTCTTGAATTTGCACATTATTTGATCTGCAATTTATCAAATGGTTCTGATTATGTTTTCTAGGTCTGAAGGTACAACATTTTTGAAATATAAGATCCCAACACGTGGCCTTCTTGGATTGCGGAATGCAATCTTGACAGCTTCTCGTGGAACAGCTATATTGAACACCATATTTGATAGTTATGGACCTTGGGCTGGTGAAATTATTACCCGGGATCAGGGTTCATTGGTAATTATCATTTATCGCATTGTTTAAAACATTTTAAGGCTTGAATATAGGTGGTCTTTGTTGTTAGGTTGTGGTGCCTGGACTATTTCTCTAGTGGTTATGTTAGTCATTCTTTTACTCCTTACCTTGAAGCAGTGCATGAGTTGCTAAGACATACTTCTTTGTCCTTTCTTTGATGAGATACAATTTAATTTTACGGCTAGATTAGGGGCAGCTTTATTTACAGAGTAGCAGCTATCTTTTGTAGCCCAGGATAAAGTAGCAGCTATGAATAAGCACATCTCAATATTTTCTGCTAATTTTCTGCCTTAAACAATTGTTCCATGAAAGATTGGTTCACGCGAGATTGGTTTTCAGGTTGCCTTTGAGGATGGAAGCAGTACTTCTTATGCACTTGCCAGTTCACAGGAGAGGGGACAGATGTTTATTGGTCCTGGGATGGAAGTTTATAAAGGTCAAATAGTTGGCATCCATCAGAGACCCGGGGACTTATCCCTTAACGTTTGCAAGAAAAAGGCTGCAACAAATATACGCTCCAACAAAGAACAAACAGGTTAGAAATAGTTCTAGTGCATTAGTGCAGTTTTCTTTAATAAATATTCTGACTAACTTCTTATCTGCTCTATTTCTTCTTTACATACTTTAACTACTTATCTGTTCAATTTCTGGCAACTTTAATTGAATTAGAGTTTGTAAATCTAAAAATGTCATGTGGACTTTGTTTTTGTGCTAATTTTTAATTAGAGTATGGACAATGGCAGATCCGCGTATTTACTTTAAAGACGGAAAAAGAGACGGATGGGGCAACATAATCATGATTATTGAATCACTCTGCATTTTACTTGTTGCATATGATAAGCGTTCTTTGATATACGGATAATTACTGTAGTTAAAATTAGAAAAAGAACACACTAGAATCACAGAACATGCACCCGCAAAAGTTGCAAATGCTTAAAAGACTAAAAGGAGTATTGTTCTTAATCCCTATGATCATGTGTATCTAAGTTTACCTTTTGCCCTTCTTCTGAACTTACCACATAATGAAGGAAGAATGGTCAAGAGAGGTTGCCCGCCCAGTACATATAAGCATGAATTTAATTTAAAAAAAAAAAAAAAACCATGAATTATTTGTTCATCAAACATCTGGAGCATGATGAAACTGAAAGTTCTGGAAACTTTTGTTATTATTGTGAATGACTACTATGACATTCAGCGATATATGCTGAGTTTCTGTTTCTCATATTTCTTATATGGGTCTTCAATGACAATGATCAATTGCATAAGGCTTAAGAGTATCAAATCAAATAAATTAGATTAACAAGGGGAAATCTGTATTTCTGTTATTTGGGTATGGGGAAACATATATTTTCTTATGATATGATGGTTCCGTAATTTCCTTCTGTTTTCCCTCTCTCTTCATTTTTCCCTCCTACCTGCATCTAGCCAGCAAGCCCTGGATCTGTTCATTTAATAACTCACATTTTCCTTATTGTGCAGTGGTTCTTGATACTCCATTGGATTATAGTCTGGATGACTGCATTGAGTATATCCAAGAAGATGAACTGGTGGAGGTAACTCCCTCAAGTATTAGAATGTGCAAAAATCCAAAATTTGCCGCCGCAAAGACGAGTCGGTAAATCCAGCCTTATCAGACATTCTGGGTCCACAAACCAAGCTTCCCGACCATGTGAATCTATACGATCAAGCTGCTTAATTCTGCAGTTCAATTCACCATATTGCCAAATTTTACACCATTTTTGTGCTCTCTGTCTCTTTTGAGCATATGAAGCCCCCTTCTTCAGGCAATTCTAGAAAATAAAATTGAATGGCAAAGCTATTTCAAGTTTTTCGTTTCTTTGATATAGCAGCTGTATATAATGATATGGGATGAAGTTATTCAAGCATATTATTGTTAAATTGTACTGCTAAGAATGGACGTAGGAAAATTTTTGGTCTGATTGTAAGACACAAATGAGCCGCATGCATAAATTGCCCGAGGTTAGTAGAATATATGATGTATCTGACTTTTGTTTTTTTTTTCTAATTTTTTGCTGTTTAACATTTTAAAAGTAGAAGGAATGGTTAACCTGTTACACACTGTTTGGCATTACTTTCTGGAATACCTTTTCATTTTCTGGTTTTCTCATGTCTCTTTATGCAATGTGTCATCAGTAGGTTTCCTACTCTCTTGTTGCTCCCTGCTTCAGGTGAAGAGAGATGATGGGAGATAAGAGTTTTGATGCTTGAATTTCTTCAGCCTGTCATCATCCTGACACACTGAAAAGTAATTTTCTAAGGATATTAGAGATGGGTCGTGGGATTTACATATGTTAGTTGAAATGCTGCTGGTTATGTTCTTCATGCTGCTTTGCTTCCAGTAAACTGATAATTAACCAATTGCGACACATTTTGCTGATGAGATTTCATCGATGACCAGACATGCTGTTGGTTTACAAGTCAGAGGGGTTTCCAATTGACGAGTCAACACAAACTCATTCCATAGATGTATCTGTTCTCCTCATTCCTCAAAGAACAATCTTATTACTTGTCAGGATGTTTCAGCTTCAATCATTCAAGCGAGACGTACATTATCCAGAAACATTTGCTGCACAAGAAATGATAGACTTTTAGACTAAAGCCACCAACAACAAACTATGGCAGCTGCTGGACTACTGGTTTTGGACCAAATCCAATGGTGGTGGCTCCTAACGAAAAACTTTCCATTACCAAGTCAATTGGAAAGGCGTAGGCCGCCTCCGAATGAACCCACCCCTACTACGCAGGTCAGCATCTAGATGCATTATCACACCTCACGACTGAACTATTCCATCTCCAAATCCCAAAGACTTTCCTTCCTATTATCACTATTTCTTCTGACATTTTCGTTCCAATAACAGAAATATACATATATATATATATATATATATATATAGGGGAGCTAGATTTTCTTTCTTTTGTCTTTCTGAAATGAACTGACTAAGCATGCAACGTTGATTAATTAGCATATGACTCTTTTCAACAGTTGCCTTCAATTCTTTAAACTAAATCAAATACCCTATACTCTTAACCCTGTTGGCTTATATATGATTATTGTATTTTAAATTTTTCTTGGTATTAACTCTCAACGCTTAACTCTACAAACTAACTTCTCTCAACTATCTTTCCTTGACCTTATAAAATTTGACTCTGAATTTGATCTCGACACTATTTTTTTTATCCCAATTTTTATAAATTCAATCCCTCTATTTTTATTAAAAATTAATTTAAAAACAATTTATATCAATATTTTTATTTAATTTTAGTTATAAAATATAAATTAACTTATATGGGTTTAAATGGACGGGTCGAGCTCAAGTCCAAACCTGAGTTGTTTTAAGTGTCAACTAAATTGGTCCATAAACACTTCAATTGCTAAACTAGAGTGTTTTTTTTTTTAATCTCATGTCACAGTTTAGTACAAAAAAAATAAAATTCTAATAAAAATATTTAAAATGATTTTTTTATAATTTAAAAAATATGTATTATTTTTACAGAGTATTTATTATTATTTAATTACAACATAATATAATACTTTTTAAATTGATATGTGTCACATAACTAAAAAAGATTAATTTACCTCAACATACTAAATCGTCATTAGAATGTCAGATTGTCTAAATTTAAAACAAAATCTTAATACTGTTATCCATTTTCGTTGAAACAAATTTTAATAAAAATGTAAGACTAAATTTATCAAAATTGAGATAAATAGACTAAAATTACCTACCAAATTGAAGCAGTAAAAACACCAAAATCAAATTAATATCAAAATTTTCTTAATGACATAGGTATCAAAAGTCAATACTCTATTCTAATCCACCTAAGCTCTTTGGGTTTAATATCAAATTTATATATACACACACTCAACCACTTGCTATAAATATATAGGTAGTTTCTGAATGATGGAAGACGACACATCCACGTCCATGCCAACGCCAAGTTGTTGGTTGAATTTGGCATTGTGTTCATTCTGTTTTTCTCTTTGTTTGTTTTCAGATTTAATCTAAAGTTTGTGTTGTGGGTCAGCTCAGCCATGGCACCTAATTTATTCCCTTTGGATTCAGACCTCTCATCATTAATCCAACTTCACACCCATGGTTTTTTGTTGTTCTCTATGAACCACCCATCAGCTGCGTGCTTCTTCACTACTCCATTTCCACAAATATCTTTAGCCTTTGCTTTGAGATGCTCTCAGTTATCTCGTTAATGATTCAAAACACAAATATTAAGTATATGAGCATGCGTTAACAGTTTATATTTCAAAAATGGAAATTATTATCAAGTTCATTCAAAATTTAGAAACAGAATTTAAGTATTTGATTCATTAATTAATATATGATTTTTATTTTAAAAAATAAACATTTAAAAAGCGAGGTAAAGAAAGGATAAGAAGAAAATATTGTTTTTATGTGTATGAAATTTTTAATATAAAATGATGTTATCGACAACATCACACACACATACATATTGATTTTGTTGATTGGTTTTTTATAAGGGATATAATAATTATGTTATATATATATATATATGTTGGAGATTTAATTAATTATGATTGTAATTTCATTTATTTGTAAAAATAAAAAAAAGTGCTATTCCCATGCATCTACAAATCTTGATAGTACTTGATGGATTGGAGAAGGGGAACATTAGCAGCACTTGCTTTAATTCTTTGCAAAAAGAAAAAGGTTTCTGTTTTCAAAGAAGACTTTGGAGAAGATCAAAATGTACTTCCCAATCTTGTTATACTTGTCCATGTTCCAAACATTATCAATAATTTTCCATTATTTTTCCACAATAAAGCTGTCATTAACTTTGACCAAACTTGATTATTTTTTGTTTTCTCTTGTGTTACTTTTGCTTGTAGAATCCATGCTTGTTTGCTTTATAAATCATAACCCAACCAGAATTCCACCTGACTTCTTTTGGCATTATGCCAACCCCTTCCTTCCAGCTTTTCTATCTTTTCTTGTCACTTCATTCTTCAACTTTTGGTTGCCATTCTCAATTCTCTTTCAATTATGTTTCTTGCATGGGTTGTACAAATAATGACTCAGGTTTCACAGCTCTCTACTTATAAAGTTGGATCTGTCAAATATCTTACTACAAAAACAAAAGAAGAAAGAGAGAGAGAGAGAGTAATTCCACTCTCTATGGAAATCAGCTCTGAATTAATTAAGACAATGCTTAAAGCCTTGGAAGATTTTCTCATCAAAATCAGCCAAAAGGGTCAGAGAACTACTCGATTGTAGGCACTGGCAATTGACAAACAATCATGCTCTCAATGCAATATTGCTTTCAATTTTAACATTGTTTTCATGAATCAATAGATTAAAAAAATGGAGGTAATTGGCTAATAACACATCATTCCTTTTGATTAAGATCAAAGTTACTGTATGTTTGAGATTGACTCTTTGAAAATGTACTATATGTTAGATTTATAAATTATTCTCTGTAGGCCCCTCATTAACATTTTAAAATTTTTGGTTGAATTATTCTTCAGTATGGTATCAAATTTTTTTTATAATCAAAATTATTTTTCATGAATACCCACTATAAATATGTGGTGACATGGGTGGAAAAATAAATAATTTCATATAAAAATGAAATACATTTTTAACAACTTGGGTTGGGTTATCTAGAAGGATTTAAGATATAAACATCAAACATGTACAGGTTATGACATTTTATGATATGAGAGGGGAAAATAAAAACCTAAAAACCAAAGAGAATTTAAATAAAAAGAACTAATGTCTATTTGTTTATTTGAGAGAATATCTTCCAAATCACCTGGAAAATACAAAAAGAAAATATAATTAATTAAAATAAAAAAAAAGGAGACAACTGTGAATGATTGAAAATGATTTAATTATAGGTATTGGAAGCATAATACATATCACATGTCTTGAACCTCATTTGTGACTTTGTGGGAAAGTGACAACTCTCTCTTGTGCTCCAACAATGCAACCAAAAGTTGGTTACTGCTTCCATTATCTTTTGGTATCTTTGGATGCAACACTTCAAAAAACTTTGTTCACATCCACTTGTTTTATATTGTTTTTCCTTCCTTGGGTGCTCAATTTTACAAACTTTTTTTATTTTTTTGGCTAATAAAAAATAAAAGGTAAAGGAAACAAGCAATTATCTTTAACTTTTTTTTCCCTTTAGGTTTGACATGGGATAGTAATAGTATTCAAAATTCAAAAGCATGATACTTAGAAAAAACTCTTAAATTATTTTTAAAAAATTAAATAAATTTTTATTCTTGTGTTATGCTCATTCAAATTTTTATATTTTTTATTTAAAAGAAAAACCTTTATAACTAATAGTTATAAGAACATGCTAACACTTATATTTTTATTTTGAGTCAATTATATTACGTCATCATACATTATGACATGTCAACATATCACGTTAAGGTCTCATAACATATAACAATAAGTGACATTTTTATTAACAATACTTAGTAAATTAATTAGTTATAAGGATTTATATAACTCAAAATAAAAATATAAAAATTCAATTGAATGTAATAAAAAATAATAATTTATTTTAAATTTTGTTTAATAATTCAAAAATTTTTTAGGTATTATATTAAATTCAAATTTAAGAATATAAGGTAAAAAAAAAATGAAGTTCAATTGATTGGGTATCTCTTCAAGGATATGGAATAAGTAATCAGGGTACATTCCCTAATGTGATTAAACAATTTCAAATGTTGGTAATGCATGTGCCCAAAAAGTCAATAGCAAAAAGACAATGAACTTTTCTTCAAGCCAGATTTGACACTACTAATTTAATCACATGAGCAAATAAATTAGGACTTGTCTATAGCAAAGGAATACTACCATAACCTGTTCTCTATAATGGAGTGGCCATACATACACTAAAATCTTTGGGGACAAATTTGTCAGAATGATTACCCTTGCCTAATTTTTTTAAAGGAAAAGGTTGAAAAGTAGATTTTACTTTTGCCCTTTTTTTGGTTTTCTATATTATTATTATATATACATAAAAAGTGACTTAAATTTATTTATTTTTCTAATATATTATGTTTCAGGTTCATCCAAAGAAACAGAGTACACAAATATTCGAAATTCCACAATCCAAATTGGTAATTTACTTATTTATTTTGGTTTAAGTAAAGGGGAAGTGGATAGGGGAATCGGAATCGAAATCCAAATTCCAAACGTTACATTTCCAAAGTCAAAATCGACGAGTTTGACCGGACAGCTGCAAGGTGGCGCAGCGGTGCTTTTCATTGGTCTTTTCTTATATTGACCAAAATACCCTTTTAAGCCCAAATCAATCGTGTGAGACAGATTATGGCTTTTCCACTCTTCGGTGGACAGAAAAGACCCTGCTCATCATCTTAATTTTCATGTTTGTGCTGTCGGTGTTTGTATGCCTTACTCGCTGCCCATTGACCGAAAATTAGTGGGTAGGGTAGACTACCCTATCTCTTAAGGTATGTTTGGAAGGAAGAATAGTTATTTTATTGTTTTATTATTTTTTGTTATTTTTTCTTTTTAGACTTTATTTGGTAATAAAAAAATAATTTGTTAGTTGAAAATCTTTTCTGTATAAGTCATTTTCCTGGAAAATTTACTATTTTTTACTGCTTGAATGAACTATTAAAATTATTTTTTATTATTTAGATGATTATATTAAAAATATTTCCACCATCATCCAATTTTTAAATTTTATTTCCATGTTCGTCACTTTTTTACCATGACATCATAAAAGTATCCATATTCATCAATTATGCAAAAAAGTCAAAGCCTAAT